CCATGTAGATGTAATACCACTGAGGACTACTTGTTGAATATGGTTTGTCAGCCAGTTACAAATCCATCTGGTGGTGATGCTATCTATCCTGCTTTTTTCTCACTTACCAAGAAGAAGGTTGTAATCTACTTTGTCAAACGCCTTGCTGAAGCCTAAGTATACTATGTTCATAGCATTTCGCTGGTCTACTAATTTAGTCACCTTGTCAAAGAATGAAATAAGATTGGTTTGGCATGATCTCTTTTTAACAAACCTGTGCTGGCTACTAGTTGTAACTTCATTTGTTTCTAAATGTTCACAGATCTGTTTTTTGATTATTTTTTCCAGTATCTGCCCATGTACTAATGTTAAGTTGATTGGACTATAGTTTCCTGCGTCTGTTTTTTTTTTCCCCTTTTTTTGAAGATGGGAACCACATAAGCCCTTTTCCAATCCTCTGGTAGTTCTCCGGTGCTCCAGGAGTTTTTAAAGATATGGTACAATGGTTCTGAGATAACATCTGCCAGCTCCTTCAGAACTCTGGGATGTAAACCATTAGGTCCCAGTGATTTATATTCATCAAGGTCAGACAGGTGTTCTCTTACTATTTTCTTGCTTCTTTTAATGTTTATTTCTAGTCTGTCTTTTACAGATATATTTTTGGTAGGTTGGGCTATAGTTTCTTTTTGCATGAAGACCAATGCAAAGAATGAATTAAGCAGCTCTGCTTTCTCTCTGCTGCCTGTTACTTCCTTGCCATCTTCTCTCTTTAGTGGACTGACTGTTTCCTTGACTTTTTTCTTATTAAGTTGAAAGAAACTTTTTTTTAATTATCTTTGACTTTTGTTGCAAGTCTTTGTTAATTCTGAGCCTTTGCTTTCCTGACTTCATCTATGCAGATTCTGGCTGTCTGTTGATATTCTGCCTTAATTATGTGTCCCTCTTTCCATTTTTTTTTGTACTTATCCTTTTTGTCTTTCAGTAAATATGTTCTTTTATCCAGGATCCTTGATGACATTTTGCTGCTCTGTTCATGCAGATCATCATCATCATTTACCTCTCAGTGATTGGAGCTCTTCTTCTCTACATGATCTTTTTAATGGTAGTTGACCCTTTTATTCGCAAACCTGATGCCTATACCCAGCCCCTGCACAATGAAGAAGAGTCAGAGGTGAGTTTGGTGCTCTTTAGACAGGTTTTCTTTCATCTGAGCTACCTGAATCTGGTGTTTTCCATATGTTTCTTCCCACAATCCCTAACCTAGTAGATTGTGGGAATTAAAAACTAATGATTTGGAAAACCTGAGATTCAGGAAGGCTTGGCAGTAAGCAGACTCTGTGTTCAGATTTAACAGTAGTTAAATGTGTTCAGTGGTGGAGATTTCTACATACCAATCACTTTTCAGAACAAAGTGATTGGTATGTAAATACCTCCATGTATGCTTAATTCATTTATTTACATATTTATTCACATAAAGCTTTTTATATACACATTGATGGAAGCTTTCCCACCCTTGTTCAGTATGCAGCCCTTTCCTTCTAGATACCCTTCTCCCCAATACAAGCGCAACTTCATCCTTTCCAGACATCATAATGCCTGAGGTGGGTTTAAGATATGCCTCAAAATCTATTTCAATAATCAGCACTCAGAACTAACATTTCCAAGCTGAAATACTGCAAGTTGGGACTGCAGCTTTCTGAAGTTTGGAGGTGACTGAGTTAGAGAAGGCAGCTTTAAACAATTAGTGGTGACATAAAGGGATTTAGGATTTCATTCTAGATTGTGGATTACATCTTTGAAGTTTGAGCACATTTTGTTTTTGAAGAAAATATTTTCAAATTCTGTTAACTGTGTTACCTGAGATCACATAAATCACATGTGTTACCTGAGATCACATAAAGCTATAATAAAAAACCAAAGGATTTTATTTTGTATGTCGTTCGTTCATTTGAATTAGAATGCTGAAGCAGCATCTAAAATAAAGCTGTTTGTTTCAAAACAGATTTTTCTGTACTACAGCTCATTATGATCAAGAGAGAAAGGAAGCTGGGAATTATATTTCAGGAATATTTCCAACAGTGCAATATAATGTGTTTGTATAGATTAGGGGATATTTACATTTTTGGTGGACAAAATGTTACCAGGACATTTGATTGCAATTCCTTTGCATTTATTTTTATAGAAGGTAACTAACCATTCTTAACTGTCTGATGCATACTGCAGTAATATCGCTAGTTTGGGATGTTTTCTGTTGTTAATTATGAGTACTTTACTATTTATAGTGTACATGAATAGCAAACTACTATCCATTCTATTTTAAAAGTACTTTGATTTGATTTTTGTACCCCAAGGTGAAGCATTATTACTGCACATCTGAAATGCTTTTTCTTTGAGATGTTACTTTCTTTCTCCTGTTATTGCAGGATCCCTGCTCCTTGACAACTGTACGTCCTTCAGCCAGTGCCAGAGCAAATACTGTGCTGGAGAGAGTGGAAGGAGCCCAGGAAAGGTGGAAGCGTCAGGTGCAGGAGCAGCGGAAGACTGTGTTTGATCGGCACAAGATGCTAAGCTAGGCCTTTTATTTTAGGTGTGAGCTGCAGCTGCTAGTTAGCTAGGCAAAATTTTGTTGGTTAATACAGATCCCATATCTGTAGTTTAAATATCTTGCACCTGCAATTTCTGATTGGATTTGCTTGCTGTCTTCCTCCTCAATCCACCCAAGAGAATATGCTGCATTTGAAGCAAGCTGCTGGCTGCACATTCCATCTATGAGGACTGCCATTTGCTTTACTTGTTGCTGTCAGGAAAAAAAATAACTCTAGGATAATTATTTGACTTCAAAAATGAGAAACAATTGCACCTTACTTTGGATTCTTTAATCTGCCAAGCATTGGTCTGGTTTGGTGATACAAATGTGGCACGCATTTATTCATTATTGCTTACAAACCTGTGGCTTGGCTTTTAGGTCAAACTGGATGTATTATTAATGGAATGAGAATAGCAATATCCTTTTCATCTCATTGACTATATGCCAGTATATGATCTTTCACTGTTGCAAAATACCTATAGAGAAGTGGCTTGGGTCTATTTGTAACATGCTAGTTTCAAAAATTGGCACCAAAGATAGAAATGTAATAAGGGAAATTAACTTAGCAAAAAGGAGTTACTGTATTTGGCTCATAAATTCTTACAGATTCTTCCTTCAAGGATTTTTTTTTTCAGGATAGTTAACTTTACACCAAAGAAATATGGACAGATTGTTTTAGCACTATCATAGTTAATGGTAAGCCATGATTAACCCTTCAGAAGAATGACTCTGGATGAATTCTGTGCTTCCCAATCTCCTTAGGTACCAAACCAAGAAGCTTATGGGTGCCTCTTTCATTTGCAGATTTTAAACAGTCAGGTGGTTATACAGATTCTTGTATTTTTTGCTTTGGAGACAGCTTAATTGCTGCCTAGGTAAGATCTCAGTTTTCACAAGTCCATTGAACAGATGAAATTATTGCTGTTCATACAATTTCATATGCAAACAAAGAATGATTTACGTATTTTAACTATTGAAAGTCCTTTCTGTTAAGAGTTATCTGCACAGGAAAGTAATTCACTGGATTATTTAGTGCAAAGAAAATTGCCCTTCTATATGTGGCAATTTATCCCAGTATGTAGAACTGGATTCCACTATCAAAGGACATTTATAGAAATAATAGCTTTAGATTTTAATATCTGTTCGAAGAGTGACATGCAATATGCAAAATAAAATTTAAGTTGACTTCATGGAAAATCTCCTGCATGAATTTGGATTTTTTTCCACAGGCCCAACATGGCTGTAATTATTTTATTGTAATTTTACAATACATTTACCAAAAGCTTGCCCAGATGTATGAGACATCACATTGAAATTTGTTTTTATGGCACTTATAGCAGCCAGATCTATGCCAACAATTAAGGGAAGTAGTATTAACAGTGTGTAATTGAAATGTAATGTTGTAATGGTTGCTCAGATGCAAAAGACACTACCAAAACATCTTGAAGGTTGGACAGTATTTTTTACGCATGCAAAAATATTTATGCATTAAATGATCTACTTTATTTATCTCTTAAAATATCTCTGGCAGATTGGATCAGTCTTTGTTACTCTGCAGCAGCTGTTCATTAAAGGAAGTGTATAGTATCACAGATGTCAGGCATGATTTAATACTTTCTGTTCATAAAGAGATATCAATAACTCAAGGGTTCAGAGAGCACATAAAAATGGAAAGAGTCTAAATTCGTAAAATAGATGCTAGCCATATCATATGTGGGCTGCAGAAATCCAGATTATCATTAAATAAGGCAAGGCATTAAGCATTTTCTGTATCTCTTTATTGTCTCTATGATCTATATTTTATAGCCCAGTTATATCTAGGATACATTGTGCATATATCTCAACAGCTGGTTACTAAGCACAGATGTACAAAAAGTTTGTTATCCATTTTTACATGGAAGTATGTGGCAAGGCATTCAACTTTATTTACTGAAAACATTTATAAGTCATTTTTCATTCAAATATTCAACATGTTGTACAAAAAGAAATCAGCAACAAAAAAGCACACTGAATAACCATTTTAATGTCAGAAATTTATAAAACAGGACCTCTAAAATCATGATACAATAATAAGTCCTAATGTGGACAAATAATGTATTGTACAACAGCATCCCATTCTAAAGGAGAGAAATTCATGTCTAATGTTACGTGGGAAAAGAAGATCAGAAGCTACTTTTTAAAAACTTTTTTTCTACTTCTCTCATTTCTTTTTAAAAGCTGGCACTTCTAAATACAACCTTGGTTTTGTCTGCCTAAATTAATTTTAAATGAGCTAAAAATTACTCATGGGGATGCCAGCTATACATATATATTCTAGGTCAGTGTTTCCCAAACTTAACAATTTTAAGGCATGAGGACTTCAACTCCCAGAATTCCACAGCCAGCAACGCTGGCTGTGGAATTCTGGGAGTTGAAGTCCACATGCCTTAAAATTGTCAAGTTTGGGAAACACTGTTCTAGGTCAATTAGGTAACAACATTAACTACAGTTAGGAGACTTGAAAGGAATCTGAAGACTCTGAACCTCTTTTTTCCTAGGACTATCTTGGTGCATGACTATTAAACAACAGTATCATTTCATGCTATTTTGAGATACAAGAACAAAGTTTAAAGCTTTCAATAGATTTAATATAATTTAAAAAATGAGTTAACTCTCCAGTTATAGAATTCTTTTCTGAGAAATACACATACCATCTATCCAAATCTATGTAAGATAGCAACTCATCTGGGGCCTCAAGTATGCACCTTCCTTCCCCTGCCTTCCTGAACTTTCTTAAACATGTAGGATTAGAAGATACAAAAATATGTGCTGATTTGTGCAACGTTTGTAATTTAATTTATAAAACATTTGAGTCACTTGGTCCCAATAATTTCAGCCTATACAAACCTAGTTCCTATGTGGCCCCTTGAAGCTAGGTAAGAAGCTTAAAACCCCAAAACAAGAAAGGTGTTATACAAAAATGTAACAATGCATTATTGTAAATCAGTATACAAATGTACTAAAGCTACATGCAAATTCCCCCAGATCAAATTAAAATATAAACATCAGTGCCCTTTTCCATTTTTTCCCATTGTGTTTTCACATATCTCTTATTAAAGCAAATCCTATTGTTCAGCAAATGTACATGGAAATCTTTGAAGAGGTTGTCCTTAAAGTTATGCTGGATCCACAGGATCACTTTCACTTGAATCTACCTCAGCCCCATAATGAAAGCTTTAGATTTTAGGAGTGCCTAAACTTCTGTTTATTTCCTGTTAGATCTTTTTTTTTTTTCATCAGTCATAATTATTTTTAACAGAGCCAACACAGAAATAATCCACCGGGACATTAATCTGTGAATTATTTTCAAGGAACAAATTATGAAAGAATTGCTGAACTTGCTAACTTAAATGAATCTTACTTAAATGAGTAGAGGAGCTTTTAGAACAGCCTGTCTTTGGCATATACATTATAACTGCAGCATTCTCTTACTGACTGCTGCAAAACAAGGTTCTTAAATCAGATTGGTAACGTGACAACCTGCTTTATGACCATCGCAACTTATGATCATAATGGGCAGGCTCCTTTACAGTCATAAATTTAGAACTGCCTATATTTTGTAAGCATTTTTACTGAAGGCTCAGGAAGGACTGCATTTTAAAGAGGAAATGTGTCATTGGCATGGTATTTCTTCCTCCCACCTAAGATGCATTTGATTCCTGAAACTGGATCCCAGACCTATGAAGAATGGCAAAGAGAGGACCCTTCTGTTTTTGATGTTTTAAAACAAACTGTTTTAACAGACTGAGACGAATTATCATCTTGGCTCCCCTGAGTAAGACCTCTCGAAGACAGGATGATGCCTTGGATGGTGCTTCATCCACTCCCAGGGCTTTGGCAGTTCAGGAGGATGAGAAGATCTTATTTTGCCAACCCCAATACCGTGGCATTTGATTTTCTTCCATCACTGCCTCTTTCTTAAGCCTTCCACTTTCTCTAGTTTAACTTCTCCTTTTCCTTTCACACTGCTATTACTTAGACAATTTTTATTTTTTTTATCCTGCCTTTATAATTTTTGTAAGTAACTGAAAGAAGCGAACATACCCAATTCTCCTTCCTCCTATTTTCCACACAACAGTCTTATGAGGTGAGTTGGACTGAGAAAAAGTGGCCCAAAATCACGCAGCTGGTTTCCACACCTGAGGCTGGACTCTGGAGAGCTGGACCAGAACCAGGGAATTGAAATTATACTGGTGAAATTCAAATTCGATATTGGAAGGTATTTATTAGATTTTTTTTTTTAAAAAAACACACCTTTATTACTTTTATAAGTAACTCAGAACAGCGAACATATACCCCTCGCCAAGGAATATTAAAGTTACTCCAAATTCGAAGGAAATCTTCACAAGGAATAAGAAGCTGAAGTTACTGCATTCATCAATCGTTTCAGCATTCTTCTAGCTTTCCAATACGTTGCAACGACTTCGCACATCAGTCCCACATCCGGCAAAATTGGATACTACGGCAGGAACAGAATATCAGAATAGGATCAGAATAACAGAGCTGGGAGGGACTTTAGAGGTCTTGTAGTCCAGCCCCTTGCTCGAGCAGGAGACTCTATATACCATTCCGGACAAAAGGCTGCCCAATGAATGTCTTTTTGAAAACTATCAGCGAAGGCTACGCAGCCTTTTCTCCTCTCCTACTTTAAATGTTGTATCGTCCAACCTGGAATCCAAACTGCGTAGCTGTTTGGCTGGACGTTCAAAATTTGACTAAACGTTCGAAAATTATTGATAATCCCTTCAATCGCTGAAACGGGATTGCTTGGTTTCTAGCAACGCCTACTATGGTTAAGGAAGTACAGCAGAAAATCACAGCGAAAAGCAGATCCGACCGTTTCTAGGAGTCGGCATTGCTGGATGAGTCTCTATTGTTCCGTAGCCAATAAGATAAACCACAATGCTGGCTGGGAGAAAAAGGAGGGCAGTTTCCTTAGCAACCTGTTGTACTGTAGGTGTAGCTAAGCTTGGAAGAATCCGATCTCTGCCCGTGGTCTGCGTGCTTCTCTGGCGGTTCGTGTCCTGAAAAATGGTATGGTTTGAAACGGAATTTAAATCGCCAGGAGAAGGTGATTGGCAGGCAGGTAGGCAGCTATGAACTTGCTGTCGTTCCTTCAGGAGTTGCAGCAAAAGGCACCCTTATTTCATTAGGGGTGTTTTTCATCATGACATGTATAGAAAAAAATCCAAATTCTGCGTAAGGAACAAAAATTAAGTCTGTTGCAGATGTATCACATGCACACTTTTCTGGGAAATAGAAACTGAAGTTGGCCATCAAAGTTGGATAGTCTGGGAAAGCTGGCCATTGCGCAAGATTTCTAGAGCTTCCTGTCTCTTTCCCCTCTGTTTACACTTTTTTTCTCCCTGAGCAGGAGGGAACTGCATCCTCTGTAACTTCCTTCCCTTTAAGTTTGGAGTACTCAATACAACAGAAAGGAGAAACAGTGTAAACTTTAGCAGATGCTTAAAAAATGCTTTAGTGAAGTAGTAGTTCTGGAATAAAAGAATCAGACAGCACATAACTACGTGCTTTGGGATGGGCATGGGGGCAGATAGAAATCATATTGTAACAGTGGAGAAAGATGGGGTTTGAAGGGAGGTCTGTTCCTGTGTACTGTAGTCCCATCACATGGTCACCCAGTTTCTCTCTAGCATCTCTAAGAAATGACTGGAGAGGTGTATCTCTTCATTCTCTGCACAGGCCTTTCTCTCCTCAGTCCAAACTTGACCTGAAATATAGATTCCTATGGCTGGAGATGTCATTTCCAAATCAATAACTGCGTGTAATATTCGGGAAAGCTTTTGCGGCTTATGTTATGTGGTTATTACAAGGTTAATTTCCAATTTGTTGGCTTGTTGAGTATAAGTAGAAATTGGAATGCAATTAATATTATCCACCTAAACTAAAGCTTCATAGAATAACATACGATCTATCCCAGCAGAGTTTCTTAGCTCCCAAGAAAGTTGCCTTATAAATCTATTGATGTTTGCCCTGGACCTCCAGAGCATAAACCTGAGATATCACAAAACTGTCTGTTGTTTTTAAAAATGCTGGGAAACCATATAAAGCCCAAAGAACATTGGAAATTGCAGAGCAGCCCCAATAAAGTGAAGAAATAAAACTACATGAACAGAACAGATAAAGAACCCATCCTTGGTGTGGTCTAATAGTTGAAAAATTCAATTTACATAACTTTGCAGATGATGCAAGAGTTTTATGGTCTTTTTTATATGACTGGACTGGCTTTTCTGTGTCCAGCTGTTTCATTGTTTGCTGCCTAAAAGCTGAAACTTTCCAAAATATATGTAAATGTAAAGAGCATCTAAGATAGATTTGGTAGATATGTATGAATGTGGTAGATATGCATATGTAAGATCAAGTATCTTGCTAAGAATGCTTTTGCTTTTCAATGTTTCAGTAAAATGGAACTTGGAGGGGGCCCATTTTTACGCAAACATTTCTTAGTAAATGATGATCTAATCTAACTGATTAAAAGCTCTTTTGGTTTTATTTGCATTCAGATAGACAACTGCAGGGATTTTGAGCTTGCTTTTTAATTAAGACTGACCACTCATTAACCTTGGTTCTACCATTAAAAGCAGCTACTTTGAAGAACAAATACATATTTTGTTTCCTATAATTGTAATTTGCATTGTTGCACAGTTCGTACTGCTATTAAAGCCATAAGATAAAGAGTCATTTTAACCAGTGTAGTTGAAATGTTTTGTGAACATGGGAAATAAGTTACAAGTTGCCCTCCATTTTAATTAAAAGAACATGAAATTTGGAATACTAAAATTGTGATATTTCCTGTATCTTGATTTTTTTTCTTACTGTTATTAGATTATTTGCTGTATATTTTCACCTGAAACCCACCATACAACTTCTGCAGACAAATCAAAAATCTAATCTAATCACAGAAAAGCAGAAGGTGTAATATCTGATAAAATGATAATATGTAATAACTATATTTAAAATCTAATGCAAGATTATTTCTAATCAAGCTGTCTCCTCTGCAAAAGGAATAGGAAAAGGCCAATTTTCTCTTCTCTTCTATACCTACTGATATAAGTTTTTATGGTTTCATGTTTTCAGGCCCTAAAAGGAGGAAACCTGCTTGTCACATTTTAGCAGAGGAATCATGATATCTCAATGTCTATAATATTACAAAGAATTGGCTGATTTCTGTTGTTTTCCCTCTATCCTCCAGGTAATATTTATTCACACATCTCAGAAATAATGAAATCGGTGTCACTTGCAGCCATTTTCTGGTGTATCCTAATACCATCATCTGAGACCAGCAAGGTGAGGAAGGAAAATAGGGAGAAAAACTGATTATGTTAATGATTAATGTTTGCTTTTGGATTAATGTAATGGTCATGTCTGCCTATGTCATCATAAGATTATATGAAGCCAGGCCAACACGGCTCAGTTCAAGAATTTCACTAACTCATGGTTTATTTTTATTATAATTGTTGATAGCAATAGCACTTAGATTTATGCTACTATGTGCAATTCAGCTATAACAGTTATGCAGAAATGCCCATTATGCTATTCCTTTTTTGGTCAACAGTGTTTCAGTATATTGTGTAAGAAAAAAAAGTAAGAAGTAGCAAGCCAAAGAAATTAAAGGCATAAGATTAAAAAAAAAGGGGGGGGAAGGAGTCATAGCTAAAATTAGCATACACTTCTTCATACATTTCTATTTGTGCAAGCTGTCCTTTGTTCCACTATGTCTGTACACTACTTCATAACCCCTTTTTTGTTCCATAAGCTTCTCACCTTTTTCTTTTTGAGAATCTCATCAAACACATCTAGCATTAGTTCCTCATCTACCCTTCCTCTCAACCTATTCAATAATCCTTCACATATTTGTTTTGTAATTTGATCATCATTCACTCTTTCTACATGATAACCCCCCTCAGCATGCTTAAATTGATATCATGTCTGTCATTCTCTTTTGTGTACCGTTCATATTCATTTAGCAGCCATTCACTTTTTCTCCCATCTCTTCTTGTTTTACTACACTTCTTTAGTGTTTCACTCCCACCCCATCTAATTTACTGTTGTTTTTTTTAACATAGCCTATTCTCGTATAACAAAATGCAGATAAGCACTCAATTTTATATAGCCTTTTTTGCTTCTTTCAAAACAACATTCATTTCTTGCAACAGACCTCAGAGCATCACTATATTTATGATCAGCATTAATGTTTATCAGTTCATTTTCTCATCTTTAGTAAATCTTCTACAGAGGAACCCAAAATTCATTAATTGCTCTTAATATTTTGCTATCTATGTCAACGCTGTCACGTCCCCCATGCAGGAGAATTCCGGGACTCAGGCAGGTCCCGCCGCCGTTCTACCCTCTTACGACAATGACTACAAAAGAGAGTACGACCTGATGATGAGTCGACACATCACACCTTTTTCACTACCTGCAAAACTCATAATCCCTAAGACGGGGGCACAGGTAAACTTAAAAGTACTAGTCAATTCTGGATGCTCCTGGTGCGTTATTAGCTTGCCATTTGCCATGAAAATGGGCATACGAGCAAAGCTGCTCTCCAAACCTGTGAGGTTTGAACAAGCCGATGGCTCCCTAATGGGAGGAACTTTAGTCACGAAATTAACTGAGCCCCTATGCTTAGAAATAGGTGAGCACTGGGAGTTCATTTGCTTACTGGTGGCTCCAAAAATGACTGAGGTTGTGATCCTAGGATTAGCCTGGCTTGGCAAAGGGAAGCCGTTTATCTGGTGCGAGAAGGGAATGAGAACTGTGAGGCTACTTATAGGGTCAGCCCCCCATTAATTCAATGGACCTTACAGGAAACTTTACCCCACCCAATGAGCGAATGCACATGGCTGCCTCATGGCAACCAGGTGAGCCACTCATCCCCAGCGAGTACCGGGACCTAGCAGAGGCATCTAGTGACAAAGAATGTGAGGCTCTGCCTCCCCACTGACCCAATGATTGCTCCATCGAACTGTTGCCGGGAGCCAATCTCCCATGACCAAGAATGTACGCTATGTCCCCCCTTGAAATGGAGGAGATGCAGCGATACATGGACAAAAACCTAGCGAGGGGATTTATTGAACAGGCCAAGTCTGCTGTGGGAGCCCCTGTGTTGTTTAAAGAAAAAAAAGATGGGTTTCTTCATCTCTGCGTGGATTATAAAGGTTTAAACGCGGTGAGTGTGGAAAATAAATAATCCCTCCCACTCCTGAAGGACTTACTAACCCACCTGGCTAAGGTGAGTGTCTTCACTAAATTAGACCTGAGAGAGGTATATTACTGGGTGAAGATAAAGGAGGGAGATGAGTGGAAGACTGCTTTCAACTGTCCCATGGGAAGCTATCAATTCAAAGTCATGCCGTTTGGGCTACAGGGGGCCCAGCCGTATTCATGCAGCTGATTAATGAGGTCCTACATGATCATTTATACAAAGGAGTTCTGGTGTATCTTAATGACATCCTGATATACAGCACGAATATGACTGATCATGTAAGACTAGTGAGAGAAGTGTTAAAGAAACTATTGAATGCCAAGCTTTACGTCAAACTGTCAAAATGTGAGTTACACCAGACCTGATTAGATTATCTTGGCTATAGAATTTCCAACGAGGGCATTGAAATGGACCTGACCAAAGTGAAAGCCATAATTGAATGGCAGCCCACAAAGACTCGCAAATAGCTCCAGAGCTTCCTAGGTTTCACCAACTTCTACTGTCAATTCATCCCCTCATTTGCCGAGATTATCCTACCCATTACAGAACTACTCAAAACAGGCAAAGGGGGAGGGAAGCCACGACCCGGCTAACCACTAGCATGGACTATGAGCTATGAAACCGCTTTTGAGAATTTAAAAAGAATATTTGCTGTTGAACCGGTCCTAAAGCACCCCTGCCTAGGGGAGCCCTTTGTAATTCAAGCTGACGCCAGTGACATGGCCGTCAGAGCTGTATTACTGCAAAAGAACCAAAGTGGGACCTTACACCCTGCACCTACACTTTGAAAAAATTTACTGAGAGCGAGAGGAGGTGGGCTATGTGGGAAAAGGAGGCTTTTGCAATCCGCTGGTCTCTATTAAACTGGAGGCACTATCTAGAAGAGAGCAAGGTGCCTTTTGAAGTATGATCACAAAAATCTAGAAACACTGAAAACTCTCCGCAAATTGTCCCCAAAATAAGTGCGATGGGCACAGTACTTTAACCATTTCAACTTCACTCTAAAGTACATATCGGGAGGAAAAAATGTCCTAGCTGATACTCTATCCATACTGCCCCAGTACAAAAGCCAGCATGAAGAGGTTAACAAGGCAATTATTTCCAATGCACAAACTGCTGCTCAGCTCACACCTCGCAGAGCCCCTAATCCTGATGACCTAGGGCAAAAAAAAAAAATAAAACAAGCTCCTCATCGATCAATGGTTCATGGACAATCAAACCTCCCTAACATGCAGGGATGGTTTGGCTTACAAGGAGGGAAAGTTATGCTTGCCAGAAACCCTCCGTCTTAACACTCTCCAACACGGCCATGACATAAAACAGGTTGGACATAAAACAGGTATTTAAAAACTTTACATCTCATCCTCTGGCAATTCTGGTGGCCGGGATTAAAATGGGACATGGAAAATTATGTCCAGATTTGTACTGTATGTGCCACCATGAAAAGAATTCCAGAGAAACTCCCTGGGTTATTGCAGCCAGTGGCAGATCCTTCTCAACCATGGGAAGAAATTGCTATGGATTTTATAGTAGATCTACCTGAAAGTAGAGGAAGTACAGTTATCGGGACTGTGATAGATCTGTTTTCAAAGCAGGCTTACTTCATCGCCTGCAAAGGGCTCCCGTCTGCCCACCGACTGACTAAATTGTTCTTGAAACATATCTACCTGCTGGATGGCGCCCCTAAACGAATAATTTCGGACAGGGGGGTGCAGTTCACAGCTAGGTTTTGGAGAAGCTTTCTTAAATTAATTGGATCATCTCAAGGTCTATCATCTGCTTTTCACCCTTCTACTAATGGAGCTGCGGAATCTGCTAACAAAATGGTGGAGCAATATCTCAGATACTATGTTTCCTACCAACAAACCAATTGGACCGACCTCCTCCCTTTTGCAGAGGTGGTGTGCAATAACTCTGTTCACCACAGCACCGGCTTCACGCCTTTCAGAATAGCCACAGGAAAAGAATTCAGCCCAATACCTGAATACCCCCAGGCGCCCTCCACTTCTCAGAGGGGATGGGAAGAAGTTCGAAAAACCATGAAGACTGCTTTAAAAAAGGCTTCCAAGACCTATAAAAAGCAGGCAGATTAAAAGGGGGCTCCTCAAACAACATTCCAAGTTGGGGAAAAGGTTTATCTGTCAACTAAATATTTATGCCTCAAATTACCCAGTAAGAAATTAGGACTGAAATTCTTGGGGCCTTTCCCTATTGTGAAGATCATTAACCTGGTCACTGTAGAATTAAAACTCCCTAGACTTTTAGGAAGAGTTCACCCTGCTGAAACCTTTTTGGGGTTCCACTTTAAGACCTCCCCCCAACTATGTTTTCTGTTGCATTTAAACTTAGAAACTAGTTATAATTTGGAGCAAATTAGATCTTAAATCAACTTGAGACAATGGGTTAAGACCACAATGTGATATGAACCAGATTTGATCAAATATGTTTAATTTCAGAATCTTCATGATGTAAGGAGTGGAGAAAATAAAGTTGAATGCTTGGATAAAGGGCTCATGTATATCTTGGCTTATTAAACCAATATCTGATGATCCATAAACTGTCAATATGTCCAGCTGAATGTAACATTAAACTCAGTACCCTCTGGAAAGGTGGACTGCCATGGGATAGATTTTTGATGCTTGTTGTTGCTTCTTGTTTCTCACAATTGCAGTAACTGCCTGTATGTGGTGGACCCAATGCTAGTGCCAAGTCATGATGTTGAGGAGTATTGCCAGCTGTGTGATTGCAAGTCCGTGGAAAGTAGTGACACTGCCATTAAGGTAATATACCAGACTATCTCTTACACCAGCTTTCTCTGTCTTCTTTCCTCAAGGTATAGAACTGGGAATTTTGACTGATTCCAACTGTCAAGGAAACTAAAAGAGATTGAAAATGTAGTCACAAGGATATTAGCACTGTGACACTGAAGTAATTGTATCTGTGGTATTTCTCATATAGATCTTATCTTATAGTTAAAACTTTGGCTGCCAACCACAGATATTGTTGCATGTGAGTCAACTTCTCTAGAGAGGCAAGTATAAGCACTGGTAGACTCATCTTATGTTCTTCTTGTGGACTGTTTAACTCTGCTAGGAAAACTGTCATTTTCTTCATCCTTTCCTAATCTGATGGCCTTAAACAATGCAGAATTCTGAGCTTGCAGGTTCTTTCAAAGATTGAAAAGGCATCAAACTGGGGAAATCCAGCCTGGTTCTTTTGCCCATATTTTGATCTTACACTTTGATTTCCCTTTTTGCAATATAAATGTTGACGCCTTGCTTAAATCATGTTCTTTTATCCAGTATGTTTGATGGTATTTCACTTCTCTGTCCATGCAGATCATCCTCATCGTTTTCCTCTTAGTATTTGTAATCATTTTATTCTTCAACATCGTTTTAACGATAGTTAAGCACTTCAGCCATAAACCTGATGCCTATACCAATTCCCTGCACAATGAAGAAGAGTCAGAGGTGACTTTGATGCTCTTTAATCAGGTTTTGTTTTAATTTAGACTGTCTGAATCTGGTGACTTCCATATGTTTGTTCCCATACTCCCTCATTCAATTGATTGTGGGAATTAAAAGTTAATAAATTTGAAAAACCTCAGAACCTTGTAGAAGGTTCATATTGGCAGTGATCAGGCTATTAAATGTATGTGTTCAGTAAACTGAATGGTATTTAGAAATCTGCATGTATACTTATTCACATAAAGTTTTCTGTATGCATAGAATCCTTCCCACCCACAGAGGACACCTTGTTCAGTATGCAGTCCTTTCCCTTTAGATACCCTTCAACCCAATGCAGGCACACATTCAGCCTTTCCAGACAGCATAATGTCTCAGGAGGATATAAGATATGCCTTAAAATCTATTTCTATGGCTTACAATCTATTTTCAAGCTGAAACACTGCAGATAAGTTGGGATTGCAGCTTTCTGAAGTTTGGAGGTGACTAGGTTAGAGGAGGTAGCTTTAAACAATTAGTGACATAATGGAATCTAAGATTATTGCTTGAGCAGGGTCCGTAAGATTATCTGGGACACTACACATCCTCTTCATGACCTGTTTTCCTTGTTACCTTCTGGGAGGAGGCTTCATGGTATCCGTAGCAGAACATCCAGATTCAGCCATAGTTTCATTCCATACAGCATTAACCTTGTGAAGCTTCCTCCTTCCGTTATATATTCAAGATGGACAGTATTTAATATTTATTTGCTACGTATATGTAGGTATGTGGGTCTATGCATATGTTGTTCATAGGATGTTTAGGTGTGCATCATGTACATGTTTCACTTTGAGAGCAGGCAACTAAATTTCATTTTTGGTGTGTGCTGTTGTGCCCACAGTAAAAAAATGACAATAAAGGTTATCCATATCCTTATCTTGGTATTCATAGTTTGCATATGCTTATATTTGTCCATTCTGTTTTAAGAATACATTGATGTGTCTCTGGGTGGACTCAAGGTGGAGTATTATTATTATGCATGTAAAATGCTTTTTTGTGTGATGTTTCTTCTATTACTGCAGGATTCCTGCATTTGATCTCTTCCCCAATCCACCCAACAGAATAAGCTGCATTTGAAGCAAGATACTGGTTGCACTGCACATTCCATAGATGAGGACTGCCGCTTGCTTTTTTTCTTACATTTTTCTAACTTCACTGATTTTTTTAAAATCTTTTTTTAGATGATCATGACCTTTTTGCTGTTCTTAAATACCCTGACAAGTTCAGGTCATTTTGAACTTACCGGTATATATTCTTCCCTGAAAACTTGTTCTCATCTTAAGTATTTACTTTCCCTTCTCCACCTCTACGATTAAACGGTACATTATTGTAAATCAATATATAGATATATTAAAGTTCTGTACAAATTTCTCCAAAGCAAATAAAAATATAAACATTACAGCTCTTTTTCATTTCTCCCCATTGTGTCTCTGCATAGTTCTCAAAGCAAATTCCTCTTAGTGAAGTTGTTTGGATTATTCAGCAAAATAAGCATGAAAACATTTGATGGGTGTCCCTAAAGTTAACCTGGATTTGCAGAATCCTTTTCACTTGAATCTACCTCAGCCCCCTGATTAAAGCTTTAGATTTTAGAGGCATATAAACTTTCATTTCTTCATGTTAGATCATTTTTCAACAATTATAACCAATCATTTTTAACAGGTCCAATGGATTAATAGAAATAATCAGAATAATTATTCTGGGGATGTTTTTAAGGAACAAATGATGAAAGAATGGTTAATTTAAGTGAATATTAATCAAATGAGTAGTGAGGCTTTTAAAACAGCCTCTTGTCCTCTTACCTTTACTACACCTAATCCAAACACCATGTCTATACTGTGACGTCTAGAAATGAGAATCTGCAGTTTCAGCAGAGTTCAGGCCATATAACCATGCTTTTTGTCCATGCTGCATCTGCTTTTGTTGTATTTGATGCCTCTTCCAAATGACTAGTAATTGACTGAATTGAAAAGTACACTTCTGCCTATAGACCAGACATGTCAAACTCGTAATGTCGTGCAACGTATCAGAGCTTTTTTGCCATTGCCGGCAATGGGGTAGGCATGGCTCCGGTATGATGAAACCGGCCCACAGGCCGGCAGTTTGACACCCCTGCTGTAGAGACCATCTCATAACATTCCTATCCTTCAGTTTATCAACTTTCTGTTTAAAAGAGGATCAACAGTCTTCAGTTATCTGTCTTCTGAAGTGTGACTTTGAAAATGTTAGTGGAACACTGCCTTGCACCTTTGGAAAAATGCTGAAGTAAACAATAATGGAAATATAAAATGGATAAGAACTGTTGGGATCTATTCTTTACATATAACAGTTGAATGGTGATCTGATTCAATGTCAATATCTGCATTTAAAGAACATAATAAAAACTTTTATTGAAGGCTCCAGGAAAGGCTGCATTTTAAGGGGGAATTGTGTCGCTGATATGTTATTTCCCCTTATCCCCCTGAGCTAATTTGGAGGTGGTTCCTGAAACTGGATCCCAGACCTATGAAGAACTTAATGGCATATAAAAGATCCTTCAGTTCTTGAGAAGGTTTTGAGACAAACTGTCTTAACAGCCTGAGACAAATAATTATCTTGGTTCCCCTGAGTTTGGCCACTGGAGGACAGCAGAGTCTTGGATGGTGCCCCCTGGGCTATAGCAGTTTACTTCTGAGCACATCTTATTTTTCAGACCCTGACACTAACGGCATCTTGATTTTCTTCCATCACGGTTTCTTTCAAGCTCTTCCACTTTCTCCAGTTTAGCTTCTCCTTTCACACTGCTATTTCACACTCTCAGCATTTGAAACCATCCTACCCTCTGATTCTTGCCCCCCCCACCCCAGATTATCAGTCAGAGATTATCATGGATAGCAATAATCTCCAACATTTTCACCACACATATTCTAGAGGCACGTTATGCTCCACTTAAAATATATCTCTAAACACCTCATTGAAATGTTACACTTGTTGGGGTAGAACAGGTTAAATAACTATATAAATGCTATAAAGTCCCACTGATTATTCAAAGACAAAGCTATAGGCTGGAAATGGAGAAAAATGTTCTCAAGCAGACATCTTATTAAAATCACTTCAAGATTACACAATAAAATCATCTAGGAAGTCACAAAAAACCTAGAAACAACATCCAAGTTCTTGCCATGCTAAAGTCTGTTTATTTTTCCTAGTGGACATGAGAAAAAACATTGAGTAAAAATGGAATTAGAATAGTGGAGGGGACACCATTGCTCACTGAGAACATATATGCTTGTCAATACTTTGCTGGCTTAGACCTAGCCAATTTGCCAGCATTAAAGAAATATAAATTTTACTTCAAAGTAAAGAAAATTACAGCAGCCCATTGGCCCATTAACTGTAATTGATGTCCCAAGTAGCAAGACAGTAATCCTAAATATGCACACAATTAGAGAAGGGATAAAGAACAAATTTAATTTTTGGAACTGCCAAGTTCAGACATAATTCACATAGAAAACGTATAGGGTTATCAATTTTGATCTATATTTCTATAGCAAACTGCTTCAACTCAAAAGTGGTTGAGGGTGTTCTAGCAAAATGCCTGAGCAGTGTTTCCTACAGAATAACAAATTTGGAAGCCACTTTGGAGGTCTTCTAGTCCAAGCTCTACTTAAGAAGGAGACCCTGTATCATTTCAGACAAATGATTGTCCAATCTCTTAAAATCCTCCACTGATGGAAAATCCACTACTTGAAGACAAGCCATTCCACTAAATAATTGTTCTAACTGTTTAGAAATGTCTCCTTATTTCAAGGTTGGTTCTCTCCTTGATTAGTTTCCATCAATTGCTTCTTGTTTGGCCTTCAGGTGCTTTGGAGAATAGGTTGACCCTCTCTTCTTTTTGGCAGCCCCTTAAATATTGGAACACTGCTATCATGTCACTCTTAGTCCTTCTTTTCATTAAACTAGATTTATACTGATTTCTGCAACCATTCTTCATATGTTTTAACCTCCAGCCCCTTAATTTTTGTTGCTCTTCTCTGCACTCTTTGTAGAGTCTCAACATCTTTTTTACATCATGGCGACCAAAACTGGATGCAATATTACAAGTGGGGTCTTACCAAAGCATTGTAAAGTGGTACTAACGCTTCATGTGATCTTGATTCAGTACATGAGCCTCATGTACTTGGATTTCTAGTTCACCTTGTTTATTCCTCATACTTTTGATTGGTGTATAAGTATTTGAATCCTTTTTGGCTGACCCTGTGCTTGTTTCCTACATAACTTGTTTTGTTTCTCAGTTCCCCTTCTTCCTTATCACTTGTTTGATTGGTGCACATGATCTGGCACACACTATCAAAAGGTTGTTTTTTGTTAACAGCAACCTTAATATTCTTAACTGCACAAACATCTATGTTAGAAACACTGACAACCCTAATAGTTGTAGATTGCTGGAGACAGAAATGGTCTGTACCAATTAACTCTCTGTCTCTGTTATTCAGTTTAAATGCTTCTCCAAAAAAGCCCTGCATTTAATAATAAAAAACCCTGAATTTAATAATAAGAATTTAATACTAATGCTAACAGGACTGAATTTCTCTCTTATCTTATCTCAGTTCTTACTTGCTAATCAGAACTAGGTCACTAATATGACTGGGAAGCAGATCCAGGCTGTTCAAAGCATGGAAATACTGGATTTTGAAGTCCCTAATAGAATTTTGAGTGCACCTGCTTGCCTACCTTTTACTTTACCTACTCACTCCATGTGGTAACTCCATTTTTCCCTTATAGAAATGGTTGCAATAGTGTTTTTTTCCCTCACACATCTTTTTCCCATTAGCTTCTTATAATGGAATCCTCTGTATTATTGTTTTGAGTTTATTAAAATCATAGAATTTTCAAATATTTTATATGAAGTTATGCATCTGTTATATACAAGAATTGGAGATGTTTGATGTCTAAGAACTAGATGCCCCCTTGAGGTTAGATTGTTTGGTTCACATCATTGTTTTATATGCTTTCAATCTTTTGATGGTGGTAGTTATTTTAATTTAAGAACTGCGTATGAGTAGATTTCCAAATGTTACCTATGTTGAATTTGAGCCAGTCCACTTTCAAAAGCATTCCCTTGGACAATGGTGTTTCTACAGCTGGATCCAGTTCTGGCAATCACCACCATTAAGAGAATATGCTAGAGGAGCATAAGCCTTAACCGTTCCATAATGGAAAATCTTACATACATAGCAGTTAAATACAAATAATCAAGATGCTGTTCTTTATATATAAACATTTTTATGTGCATAAAGAGTAAACCAGGGGCTGCAGTCCAGAGGTTAGGCTTCAGTTGCAGCTAAAATTGCTGATAGTTAAGCATTCTGCGGTTGGGGCTGACTGCTGCATTTTCTTTTGGGGGGGGAAGGGGGACTTTACATTTCTAGCATTTGTTATGATGAAATAAATGTTTGTCTTATAAACAATATGATAGATTGTGGAATAATATGAAATTAGTGTTAATTGAAAGCTATGGCATGGATATGTTTTTTTAAAAAATAAAATAAAATAAAAAAAGGCCAAGCATTAGGATATCTGTAGCTGTGGCCTTTGTAAGATAGGTTTGTGCTTTCTTTCTGCGTGGTACCTTGTATGGTCAGGAATTCTTGATAGCTATTTTTAAATTATTGTGTAGCACTGATAGATAAATAGAAGTAGCAGGATCCATGGTTGTAGCACAATGTGGTTTGAAGATTCTCCAGAGGACAGTTGAACTAGAAGTTCAGAAGATTTTATATGGAAACTATGCAAAATCAGTACTAAACCTACTTTCTGAACCAAAGGATAAGAACGTACTCATACGTAGAAAATATTGCTGGATTGAGATAAATTTTACTTAAACATTGCTTGTGGGATGAAGTTCATTATTTCACCTGAAATCAGCAGGCTGAATTAGGACAAGTGTCTTATCTCATACAAAGTTCTGTCTTCCAATCACAGAGTCTACGCAAGGTCTCAGAAGGAACATATTGATGTTGCCAATGTTGCACCAGAGCTAACCTAATGTTGAAACCATCCTAACTTCAGCCATTTGGGTCTGTGTGAATGGGGGGGGGGGAGAGAGTATACTCCAGACCATAAAAGCTATGCAAATAAAACAATGTGATTTTTACTATTACCCCTTCACATATAAAGTTTTAGTCCTATCCAAATTTAGTCATGCTAGCTGAGAATCTTGGGACTTTTAGTACAAAGTTAAAAGGAAATCTTTTTAGGGATATGCAGAATTAACTCAAGAGTCACTACAAAGGGTAACCAATGTTTACACAGCAATGATAATTAATCAATTTGCATTAACTCATAATCTTTGAACATGGATTGAATTGATTACTTTATGGGCCCGTATATTTTCATTCTCTTTTATCTTCTCTGAGGCTAT